CCGTTGTCACTAAAAATGTGTCGCGGGGTACCTCGTCGTGCCGCCATTCTTCGTAGCGCCGCGAGAAATGCTGATGTCGAGAGATCTGTGACGAGTTCGAGGTGTATTGCTTTTGTCGCCATGCAAACAAATACTGCAATATAACCCTTAGTGGTCTTGATACCACGACCCTTGTTGGCCTTTATCATCACAAACCCAGTGAAGTCAACTCCAGTATTGTAGAATGCTCGCCGTGAAATGTTACTCCTTGATCGAGGGAGGTCTCCCATGAGCTGGTATTGTTTACTGGAATCGAACCTGCGACACACTACGCATCGGCGTAGGCGTTTCTTGATATATCGGTTACTGCCGAGTATCCAGTACTGTTTTCTGAAGTTAATCGCGCTCCTCCATGGTAAGTCGATTTGTGAGCATAGTCAACTATTAGCTCTGATAGTCTGGTATCGCTTGCTATGATTGTTGGGTGTTTCATATCTTCGCTAAGTTGAGCGTGTCTCAACCTTCCGCCAACTCGAAGAATGCCCGCTGGATCTAAGAAGGGGTTGAGGCATAATAATTTGCTTTTTGAGCTAATACTGGTACCCGCTTGTAACTTAGATATTTCTTCGAGAAAATTGTCTCTTTGATGCTGTTTTATAATGTAAAATTTTGCTTGTTTCAATTCGCCGACTGTGAGGTAGGGACACGTGTTCCTGTCTTGCTTTTTTGTTAAGAAACGACGAACGCAAGCTAATATTCTAATTGACTTTGAAAAATGATGTTTGTTCGTAATTTCATTTATGACACTGTCTGCGGGTATTTGTTTGACCACGGCGTGTGTCTGGACCAGTCTTGTTGTTGTTTTAACTTCCTCACCGGTCTCAAACGTGATATTTTTGCTCTCTTGATTAGCAAACGTTGGTAACCATGATGGACCGTGCCACCAGAGTTCAGAGTTCTTACGACCTAGCAAATAGTGTCGAAAATGCTTTATAGCATTAAAGACTGCTAACGTTTCTAACTCGAATGAATGGTACTTCGATTCCGCTGGAGACGTACGACGACTATAATAAGCAACTACATGTTGTTTCCCATTAATCTTTTGAATAAAAATGGCACCATATCCGTCAGCACTAGCATCGGTATGCAACTCGATTGAGTGCGCGGGGTCAATATCGTTAAAACTGGCTCACTGGTTAAGTAAGAAATAATTTTTTGACGGATGGCCTCATGACTGGGTTCCCATTCAATGGACCTATTCTTGTCACTAGTTAAACGAAACAGAGAGGCCATTTGAGACTTTTGAGAACTGCGCCACAAATTGTCTGAAATAGGTGGCCAACCCTATGAACTGTTTCAGCTGAGTGATGGTTTTAGGTGGGGGAAGGCTAGACAAAGCTGCAATCTGATTTGGCCATCCTCAACAACAAAGCCTAAATATTCAACCCGTCGTTTAAGAAAAGAACACTTAATAAAGTTCAGGGAAAAACCAGCTTTTGTCAATTTATCGAGTACAGTGCGAAGACGAACTAAACTCTCCTCCACACTTGATCCTATTATTAAAATATCGTCGACATATGTCACAGCATGGCTATAAGCGAGGTCAATTTTTAAACCAAATACCATGGTCAAATATTCCCACTGTCCATCAGGTGTAACGAACGCAGTGCGCTCTATGGACTCAGGATGCACTGGAATTTGATGGTAGCCTGATAGCATATCGAGACACGTAAACTATTTAGCACCACCTAACCTTGATACAAGATCCTCTATCAACGGCAGGGGAAACCTATCCGACACAGTGTTATCATTCAGCTTCCTGTAGTCGACACACATGCGATCTGAACCATCCTTCTTCTTAACAAACTACAGTGGACTAGAAAAAGGTGAACAACTTGGTCTAATAATATCTGCTTCCTCTAACTAATGAACTGTTACATCCCTAATTTTGATGATATTGCATAGGAATGCAATACAATATTGCTGACTTGCAATAATAGCAAAATGACGTAAATTTAACATTGCAGATCAGCAATAAATACACTATAAATACCAATCCTTTTCTTAAATTAGTCAGTTATTATTCTCTAGTGCTGATATAATTTGTGGTCTCTGACTACTCCCCAACCTTGGTTAGTTTTCAGCAAGGAATTCTAGAGCAATAATATACTCCGGGTCTATTCTGCCCTTCGCTGGGGCCAATAAAAACGCGTATAATCCGTGTTAAGTGGTGTTGTATAAGTTTGTGTCTATATTAAGTTGCCAAAAGTTGTGTAGAGTTATAAAGTAAATAATTGTGATAGTCAGTGGTGGTTTTTTTTTAAAAGTGCCGGACTGTCCAATCTAACATTTGGTGTCAGAAGTGGGATTTTTGAAGTCCCTCTGGTCGCCTACTCCTGACGACGACCTGCTCGAAACACAACCTGGCCTTAACCAGTTCCTGAACTAAGTTGGCCACCTGCTGTCTCCGCCGTCTCTCTGACGCTCCCTGAGGCCGCCGCCGACTCCGGACATCGCAGACAACGTGTCATCAAACTCCACTGTGCCCGAGGGGTCATTGCCCGGCACCGAGTTCATAATCACACTTCCAAAAAAACCAGTAAAAACTTCCAATATTAATAATAAAACATATTTTCACATGTTTACTAAAGTACATCATTATGACTCTTGTAATTACAGAGACATATTTAACGTTTTAAACAATCTTCGTAATGAATTAATTATATTTCATCCCGATGTAAAAGAAATCTCTATGTCTGATTTTTCCAATCAATTTGACAAGCTTCAATTTTTAATGATCTATGAAATCATTTGTTTTATTTTCCATAACACTAATATCACCGTAAACATATATCATAATAAAATAATTTACCCAACCCCTAACGAAGTTCCTACAATATTGAAAGATAATCATGATTCGCCTATTGGCGGAGATATTGGTTCATCGCGGTTATATAATAAATTAAAGGAATCTTACTACTGGAAAGGTATGAAAAACGATATTGAATCGTATATTAAACGTTGTCCACTTTGCCAACAAAATAAAGCTCTACGCGCCTGTAATAAAGCTCCAATGGAAATAACTTCTACTTCTCTCGAACCTCTCCAAAGAGTATCTACTGATATTGTTGGTCCTTTACCCGAATCCGGTTCTGAAAGATATAAATATATAGTTACTTTTCAAGATGATTTGACAAAATATTCCATGGCCTATCCTATTACTAACTCAACGGCTGAACAAACAGCTGATTGTTTAATTAAATTTATTTGTCACTTCGGCATCCCCAAAACTCTATTATCTGATCAAGGTGTTCATTTCATTGCAGAAGTATATAAACAAATCACATCTCTTTTTAAAATTAAACATCTCTTTTCTACTCCATATCATCCTCAAACTAATGGGGCTCTTGAACGAAGTCATGCCACTTTAAAAGAATATTTAAAGTCCTATGTCAACGATAATCAAGACGATTAGCACAAATATCTTCCAACAGCTATTATTTCTTACAATTCTTCTGTACATTCTTCTACTAATTTCACACCTCATGAGTTGTTGTTTGGTTGTAAACCTCATCTACCTAGTTCTATCTACGATATTGACCCAACAGCTACCTATCCTGATTATGTTAAAACGCTAAAACAAAAGCTAATCAATACCAGAAATATAGGAAGAGAAAATATCCTCCGTAGTAAAGAAACTACTCCAAGTAAGTACTCCAAGACGTAATCTTGAGTTATTGGAATAATATAATCTATAGGTTCTATTTTCATTTTGATAATATGTTTAATTTAATTCTGGGTTCTTTAATTTCATTTTGGTTTTTTTACTATTTCTAATTTTTATGATAATCTAACTATATAATATAATTTAAGAAAAGTTTGTAAACTCAATTTCTAATCTTAATTTTATCTTACATGGATTATACTCACATCCTTTTCTATTTCCGGATGTTTCGTTTTAAAGGGGGGAGGTGTAACATCCCTAATTTTGATGATATTGCATAGGAATGCAATACAATATTGCTGACTTGCAATAATAGCAAAATGACGTAAATTTAACATTGCAGATCAGCAATAAATACACTATAAATACCAATCCTTTTCTTAAATTAGTCAGTTATTATTCTCTAGTGCTGATATAATTTGTGGTCTCTGACTACTCCCCAACCTTGGTTGGTTTTCAGCAAGGAATTCTAGAGCAATAATATACTCCGGGTCTATTCTGCCCTTCGCTGGGGCCAATAAAAACGCGTATAATCCGTGTTAAGTGGTGTTGTATAAGTTTGTGTCTATATTAAGTTGCCAAAAGTTGTGTAGAGTTATAAAGTAAATAATTGTGATAGTCAGTGGTGGTTTTTTTTTAAAAGTGCCGGACTGTCCAATCTAACAGAACCTTAGCAGTAACAACTTCGCGTTCACTAGCACTAAGCCTATAAGGACGACGACTAACTGTACGACTAGGATCTACAAGCCTAATTTGCAACTGTCCTGTTGTTACCCGGGATCTAGGAACACCACCAGAAGAATATTCTGACAAAAGATTAATTAATTGAGAACGAAATTCTAGCGGAATGTCTGTATCAACTTTGTCAAAAACAATTTGACAATTGGCATCGTTTCCGAGCTTATTTGAAACATCGCATAGCCTAACAACCTTATTACAACACAAAACAATACTCTCAGACGTCATACTAACGTTAAATCCCTGATCTAAGATCTCACGACCAATAAAAATATCATTTTTAAGGCAACTATTAGGAACAACGTGACATAATATCTCTAATCGTAAATCATTAATCATAACCTCAGATATAATTTGTAGGGTACTTTTCACACTACCATGACCGATACCTGTCAAACTGACAATGTTATTTACCCGCTTTCCACTAAGTTTTGACGCAACACAATCTTTGATGAGAGAGCATTCGGCACCAGAATCATAATAAAATGGATATGACACACCTGTGTTCAACAGCGTGCCGCTGGGATTGCTAACATAGCAAACTTCCACATGCCTCTCGTTACTCGACCGCTGCTGCAGGCACAGCTCCGGAACTGCAAGCGCCTCCTGCCGCGCCAGCTCCTCCACTGTTGCCACGTGGACATTCCGTAGCAAAATGTCCGGCGTTGCCGCATCTGAAACAGATGATGTCCGAACGTTGGCAGCACTGGTTGCCTTGCCTTTCACCTCACTTCTGGAACGACAATCGGACGCTCGGTGACCTATTTTACCGCAGTTGTGACATTTCACCGTTGCCGACTAAAATTTTTATCGCTTGAAATCTGGAGAGGCCTAGAGTTGGCCATCGAAGTTTTCCTTTTCAAAAACGAAAACGCTTGAAGTTCACACTGCAGCTTGTTCCTGTTGCTTACTTCGGTAGTAAACGCATACCTCTGTATACGCCCATCAAATTGCGCCATATGAGCAAGCACCGTGGTTATGGCTATCTGCTCAGCGCTCATGTTTTGCCAGCGTGATGTTAAGGTAGACAACAACCGGGCGGCGTATGCAGCGTAGCATTCACCTTCTTTAGGCTTGCTACTCATCATTTTGACAAGAGTAGCTGCTGGTTTGTCCACGCAATCGTCACGGGACAAAAACAGGCTTTTGAAGTCACCCCACATCATACCCGCAAACGATACCTGCGCCAGCTAACGTGAATCACTTCCCTTCAAAGCCTTGCTTAAGGTGATGATCAGGGCGCTTCCTTGAAGCGGTACTTCTGATAGGCACAGACCTGCTGTAGTACACCAGGCACGTGCGTCTACATCCGGCTTGTCCGGGTCAAATTCAGGCAAAGAAATATGCTTGGTACCTGCCGGGCCCCTGATGGCTTCTATCAGGGACATCATGTTCCGATTTTGAGCAGCCAGCAGCGTGCGAAGCAAGTTCCCATCGCACCGTGACGTCATGGCTCCATTTTGCGATATTTCTTGAGTTCCTTCAGCTCGAGTGTGTCCCACTTCTGATGTCGCATCGAGGGCGGCCGAGGTGCGACACATCGGGTCTTCATCATGATCTGACATAGTTTCCAATGGATGTGGGCACTGACTTGGGTACTCGAGCGAAAGATTATTTAAATCAGAATAACTTTATTCACAATATTGAAACAAAAACGTGCGTCGGTAACTCATCCGAATACGCCCAAGTCGATTACACTTGACGTTCCGTTCCACGATCTCCGACATATATATATATAAATATATACACACATACACACATACATACCAAGGGTCTGATTATCGAAGGGACAGATAATAATCCCTCGTTCTCTTCCAGAACACGCTAAGAGAAGGGCTATTGCGTATTGCACGCGGTAGGGCATTCCATAGCCGAACAACGGCAACACTAAAAGAGTTGTCATAATGACTCGAAGTCTGGGAGGGAGTTCGAAGGAGGAGAGAAGAAGAAGAGCGACAAAGATTGTTCCTGGGAACAAAGTGCTCGAAGCGCTCACGGAGATATGAAGGACAAGTGGGGTTGTATAAAGTTGAATAGAGTAAGGAAAGAATGTGGAGATCTCGACTAACCATTTTAGCCGTTTCCGAAATTCCGAAACATGATTGAACTTTTTAAGACCGAATACAGAGATTTTGTTACAGTTCTAGCTTACCCCAGAGTTCTTCGATAGCGTCGAGAAAAGAAACATTAGCATAGTCAAGAAGGGGAAGAAGAAGGGATTGAGAGAGGAGGACTTTAGTCTGAAAAGGAAGAAAATTTTGAAGACGTTTGAGAGAGTGATATGTTCCAAAAACCCTTTTACTCACCTCTGTAATGTGTGTGTGGTCCACGACATGTTGCAGTGCATAAAAACCCCGAGATTTTTGACTTGTGTCGCATATATTATAACAGTCTTGTTATAGGACACTGGAGGAAGTAAAGTGTGATCAAGGCTATTATACATGTATCTGCCACCAATAATGATAGCTTGAGATTTAGCGGGATTGACAAGCAGCCCGAACGATTTTGCCCATGTACAAATGTTCTGCAGATCATTATGATGATATATGATGGCAGTGACGGCTTCAGTAATTTCATCAACCTTGATATGGCGGTATAGCTGCAAATCGTATGCATAAAGATGATAACGAGAAGAAATAACTTTGGTGATTTCATTAATGAAAATGGAAAAGAGTAGTGGAGATAGTACGCCACCCTGGGGCACGCCTGCATTAAGGTCACACCAGTCTGAAGATGTCTCATCCGTGCGCACTTGTTGCGTGTGACCCCGAAGATAAGAATTGCACCAGGCGATTACAGAATCAGAAACAATTAGAGACGATAGGGTGGCCAAGAGGATGTCAAAATCAACAGAGTTAAAGGCGCTGCTGAAGTCCAATAGTATCAATACTGTCAGTTGTTTATTTTCCATGGCGAATAGTAAATCGTCTGTTATTTTAACTAAGGCGGTACAGTTACAGTACTATGGCCAGCATAAAAACCAGATTGGTATGGACTCAACAGGCTATTAAAGGAAAGAAAACTGTTCAGTTTACTCCGGACAATCCTCTCAAGCACTTTGGAAAGGATCGGGAGAATGGATATAGGTCGAAAATGAGATACTAAGGAAGGGTGTAACAGTTATTTTTTTAGTATATTTGTATTGCGTACGGACTTGTTAACAGCGACACCTATTGCCCGCGTCGCATTTTGTTTGATTTATCCAAAGTAGTTTGTAGCTACAGTATTGATGTTCTTCGTTCGCCGTCGGACCACTAGATGGCGTTTGTTGTGTAGATAAGTCATTTTATTAATTTATCATGACAAATTGTATAGGTGTTAAAAGTGTTCTGTTATGGTAGGAAGCAAGTTACTTTTGATTTTATTCGTGTTGACCTCGTTGATAATTTAAATGTCAAATTAAAATGTTAAGTCCTTTAAAATGTTAAATTCTTTCTGAAAACTTCACAAACCGAACATATATAAGCCCGGCTTTCAGCCACGGGGGACACTCTGCTAACTCGTGTCTTCCAATCTTAAATAGTGTTTTGATTGTCTTGTGATTTTATTTTCGTAATATATTTTCTGTTCAAAGTACCCACGAAAATGGTGAGTATATTCTTAATTTTTCTTGTACCTATTTGTTTCTGGAATCTGATCGATAATATAAGTGCTAATCCATTCGTAGGGTCCCAGATTTCGGGTCAAGACGAGCATTCTCAGACGGCGTGCTTGTTCATTTGTGGCCTTCTGGTGCGAACTCAAGTTTCTCGGTAACCTCTGGCAAACTGACAGTCACGCGGCTCACAAAGCAAGCGGACAGCCGTACTCAAGGGTTACGTACTTCTCGTTAACTTTGTTAATATCAATCGTGAACTTTCCTCAATACCTAATATAAATAGCCGACTCGGGCGGAAGGGGGAGTGAGCTCGGCTCTGACGCGCGCCGCTGCGGTTTTTTTTATACCCACTGATTTTTTTTTTTTTTTTTTGTAACTTTATTTTTTTTTGAAATATACATGTATGTATGACTGAGGTGTAAGTTGTTTTCCTCTAAGGAATCCCGTAGGTTTCCCACACGCACACACTTCTGTTCTCATACAAGGCGCCCTGAGGTAATCTCGTGAATCTCTCCACTGGGTCAGCCGGTGAGTAGTCCGCCTGAGAAGAAAAGCGGTTACAAGGGTTAGCAGTTTTAGGCAAGGGGATAACATGGGCCTTCTTCCAGGATGATGGAAACACGTTTTCTTTGAGAGAGAAATTTATGATATGAGTGATAGCTGGAACGACGTCACTTACAATAGGCCGCAACATTTGTTGTTGAATGCCAACAGCACCTTTTGCTTTTGTGGAGATAGATAGGATATGTATCTTAACGTCACAGCCTTTTACCGGTTCAAACGAAAATGAGGTACATTGAGGCAATGGAAGACCCGCTAGATAGCTAAGATTAGATGCCTTGTCTAAAGTATCTGCACAAGCCGGTGAAGTGGAAAAATGCCTATTCAGCACATTGAGTGTACAGCAATAGTAGTTGAAGTGTGGTTAGTCGCTTTACAAATACAAAGAGATCTAAGAAATCGCCATACCTGTGGTGAATTGAAATTTTTAATGGAATCGTGAATGTGGCGTCTTTTCACATCCCGACACAGACGACTGCAGCGATTCCGGAGAACTTTATAGACTGACCAATTCTCATCCGAAGAGTTCCTCTTATATCTATCTTCTTTATCGCGCTTGAACATTAGATGTTCAATCTTTTCGGACAGCCAAGGAGCAGGAAGATTCTTAACTCTTACTTTTTTTAGTGATGCATGTTTATCGAAAAGATCTAAGAGTATTTTTAAATGTTAGTGTCAATATCGCCACAATTGTATATAGGTGACCAATCTATTTTTTCGACACCCCCTCTCAAACATGCTTCATCAATGTTTCTGAAACTGTGTAAAACAAAGTATTTAGGCTTAAGTTTAGGAGAGATAGTTTTGTAGGAGAGAAAAATGAGGTCATGGTATGAGAAAGGAGCAAAAACTTGTCCATGAGCGGCAACTTTATTAAGATCCGAAACGAGAATTAGGTCTAAGAGAGAGGGATTAGAATGAGGAGCGTAATGTGTAGTGTTTAACGAGAGAATATGCATGTTAAGTGAGGAGACCAGGGACCGGAGGTTTCGGCTGCGTACATCATTTTTGAGCAGACACGTGTTAAAATCCCCAAGAATAATAGTATCACTGTATAAGGGTGATAAATTTTCCAGCTTGGTTTCGAAAGACCAGAAATAGTCAATATGACAAGAAGGGCTATAATAAACACCCACTAGCAGTTTAGTGTGATTGTACTTGATGTATTTGGAGACACATTGAAGCAACGAGATCTCAAGTATGACTCCTCATTTATTATAATAATCATTGTTTAAATAAAATAGAGATGGGGTTACTTTACCTAAGTAGGTAAAGAAATATACATAAGGTTAAGAACGATACAATTTTGTCCTGTTTTTATGAATAATATCTAACTTATTATTTTTCATTATTTCTACATTAGGTGTTATATCTCTAACTGGATAAGGACCTGAATATAAACCATCAAATTTATTAGCTACTTCCTTTCTTACTAATATTAGATAATTTGCATTATATTTAATAGGATTTGTATATTTATCATAATTAGTTTTTCTTTTAATCTTACTGTTAATTAAATTGTCTCTTGCTTCTTTTTGAGAAAGCTGTAACCGATACTTTAATTCACATAGTTAACTTTCAAAATTATAAATTGGTTCTACCATGTTTTTATTTAGGTTACTGGGTAGAATACACTTCTTTCCGAACACTAATTCATAAGGCATAAACTAGGTTTCAGAATGTACCGATATAATATGCAAAACACCAAAAGGGAAGCCATTTGCTCCATCTTTCTGGGTGTTTATCAGTATGTATTCTAAGAAAAAAATTTAAATTTTTGTGAGACACTTCTAACGCACCTATACTCTGGTGGTGATAAGCTGTAGAATGCAGCTGTTTTATTTGTAAAAATTTACACATTTCTTGAAATGTAGATGATATAAATTCCTTACCTCTGTCAGTCGCTATCTCTTTGGGAACTCCATATCTAAGAATAAAATTGTTAACTAAAGATCTTGCAACTTCGTCTCTCTTTTTGGAAACTAAAGGATAGGCTTCAACATA